CACACACCCACACACACACATTCAGTAACAGGCAGTTACATGGCCTAGAAAAATCAAAGACGAGTTATTCCACTCGTGTTATGTGACCTCTAGCCTCAGTATGAATGATTGAACAGAGTCACAGAACCATAGCAGGAACCCTGACTGTCTGACAGATAGAGAAAAACTTGGTGACTTTAGGACCTTTAGTCTGGGAATGAGAAGTTAGAAGAAGGAACCTCTCTCTCTCTCTCTCTGCGACTATGTTCATCGCTTTTTGGTATTGTTTTATCCCTCAGTATGCTGCCCTCGGCCAGTGTGAGTGTAAGTTGTCTTTCGCAGTTTTCTCAGCCAATAACCAATAAACAGGGTGTCAGCTTTTCTGCCTTCATGTGGATTTCTGCAGACTTGCCTCCTCCAGTGTGTTGCTGAGCTGAAAGATCTGTCCTTCTCCTTCCACCTGCCGCACACACAGTTTGCAGCTGATCTCTGTGGTGGCTGAGCTCAGTCTCTCTAGGGTGAAGGTGCAGTGAAGAGTTCTCTGACTGCCACTCCACACCTGGTAGAACGGGATCTCCTAGAAAAAGCACAAATAATATGCATGGTTTCAGGCGGGTAACCTGACGGGTCACAGTATCTTCCAACTGTGGCTATGATTCTGATAAATTATGAACAGCTGTAATACATGGATTCTGTTGCTTGCTTGAGGTGCTTAGCGATTTGTGCACTTTATTTAGTAACTTTCTTTATTTGTGGGAATTCATCAAAGTGAATAACTTAAAATATTTTACTCTGGACCAAAGCTTAATGCATAAAACGATGACATGCACTGAGTCATGCTGCTAGGCTTACCATATTTTATCCTTGTTTGGCTAAATATAAGTAGTACAATAAACTATGATATTTGCTCTGTGTGTGAATATCCTTTGCTGCATTGTGTATGTTGTATAGGATACCTTATACAATGTCTTTAAGTGTACAGTATATGTATGTGTATGTGTATGTTCCTCTCACCTGATACTTGGCGATGAGTTTGCTCTTCCAGTGTGTGTGTGGCACGTCGTGGATTGACAGTCTCAGATTGTGTGTGCTGTCTTTAAAGTTCAGAGTTTTTGGTTCATCCAGAAGCTTCCCTCCCATCTGGGTCTCCATCTGAAGAACCTCCTACACAAAACCCCACAAAAAAAACAATAACTACTTCAGACTTCCTCCTCAAGTTTTGCTTCGATTTAATCCCACTCACTGCACCATTGCATATTTTTCATACAGCATTAGAAATTGTAGAAAGCCTTTATTTTTTTCTTGCATAATTACTGCAGACGATGCCGCCTTGGATGTGGTCTTCAAGTACAAAGCACCATGAAACACTTGAAGCACATGCAAGTTTTCATTAAGCTACCATCACAGATATCTAAGTAGTAGTTCTATTCCCTGGATTTTAACCAAAGCTCGGCTCTGCTAACTGCGCTGAACTGAAGAGAGACATTAAGATGCTCAATAAAAAAACAGATGAATAATGCACCACCAGTCAAAGTACTATTGTTGTGAGATGAGGCAAATGAAGCTTATCCTTAATGTAAGAGAGTACAATTAAATTACTTCTATTGGCTTTGGAAGATGACCTCAATGCATCATGTTATTTGTGAAATACTAAACAGAGAAGTAAACCGAATTCTGATTATTTCAGATTTTGCATCCCATTTTTGTCTCTTCCATTACGCCTTTTCTTTCTGCTAGAATGTCACGACAACAATTACTACTTTTCCTTGTGCACCTCTCCCTTATAGTTTTAAGGATACTGTAACTACCGCCTCACTTAAGCCAGATTCATAAAGTAATGCACTGCACTTAACGTGGGTTTTTGCTTTAATTTAGTGTCTCCTATTTCATATAAGGTTAATGTAAAACTGTAAATACTGTCCATTTGATGTCTTTGTCTTTGCTTTTTACTTTGTTGTGCTGCAGTTAATAATAATACATTGCACACACAGTCTTATGGGGAATTTTGCTCATCCTTTTCAAACTGACTTCTGTATACCAACTAAGCCCACACCGAGAGAGTAATGACTAAGTATGTGTGTCCCTACAGAAACACCAGCATGCAAAATGGTAAAGACACATATTTATAATATCAACGTATTCATGGGCTGTACACACACTGTACACATGCACTTAAATTAACTAATTAACTCTCAAAGACACACAGAAGCTCACGGTTATTTTCTGATGGAAGAATAAGTTATGAGTATGACTTCTGATGCCTCCTACAACCTTTTCAAAATAATCAATTCCTCCTTCCCATCATCTTCCTACGCGGCAGCTCTACAGTAGATATACAGCAGAGACTTCCCCTTTGAAACGCCAACCGATCAATTATACTACAAAAAGTCTCCATCATTAAAAAGTCCACCTCTGAACTTTGTTTTCAAGCTACAATTGCTTGTTTGAAATGGTAAAACTGAGTGTGCGTTGATGTTTGTGTGAGCGTGTGCATGGCTGCGTGCCACGCTGACACTTGACTTATCACTGCATGCATAAATTACCAATGTTAATCTCCCATATCAGATGGTCCCTCCAGTGCTTTGAATTTGTTTAAATTCTAAAGCATCGTTATTTTGACATTGCTTGACCCTGTTTTGTTTACCGCTTCTCAGCTCATTTCCACAAGACTAGAGGTGGAAAAAAAACCCTTCTCTTTATGACTCTAGACAATCACTTCTATTCGAGCAACAATATATTTGATTTCAAATGCAAATTACTGGGGAACAGTTTAAGCATGGGTGGTCCAAGAGAGAACAAAATCCCTCACAGGACTAAAGAACACAACAAAGCACTCAGCCTAAAATATCACACACCTCTTCAGTCACTGTTACTCAAGACATTGGGAAACCAATTGTGCACCCTGTAGATATATACTGTATTTTTGTCCATAGTAAGTATGTGTGTGTGCACATATAAAAAATTCAATGGACATAAAAAACAAACTGAACAACAGAATGCCTTAGTTTCAATACTTCACCTTGAGTGCATCCTGTGTGTCATCCAGACAATAGACTCTAATGTGATAGTCCAAAGTTGTGCAGGAAACGGGTCCAAAAACAGCCAGTTTGAGCCTCTTGGCGGCTGCCTTGCAGACTGACTGGCCCACCAGGCAGTATGTCCCCAGTGTCTCTGTTAAGATGTGACATGCCTCCGAGTCCATCTGCACATAGCAGGGGGTGGTGAAGTTTTCCTCTCCCACTACAACCACATCCTGTAGGAAACATACGCGCACACACAAAGTCAGACACAAAGTCACACACGTTTTCAGATTTTCAGAGTGTGGGATCTGTGATAGGTGTCTGAGAAAGGCCTATTGTTAGTTGTCAAATGCTGTCGTTGAATTTAACATGTGAACCTGTAGTCATCTGAGGAGAGATCTAAGGCTTTATTTAAGACTGACTAACTTCAAAAACAGGTCTTTATTTCCAATTAGTATATACTATCACATATTAGTAAGAAGCCTGCCTGTCTTTTGATTCACACTTCCTAGATGTGTTTCACATTAAAACAAAGGGCTTCCTTCCTTTCACAGAAGGCTTTTATTGAGAAACACCTATGGGTGTTATCAACATTAAAGCAGTAACAAGGAACTTTGGTGTCGACTCTAGAGGCCCCAGTGAGCAAAAACTGTGGTGTTTCATTTATTTCAAGAGGAATCCGACCAAATCCGACCCAGTAGCAGGCATTAAAATGAATAAATAAAAACTGTCAATATTCCCGATTTTGGTCTCGTCATATTAGTATTACATTTAGACAGTTAGAAATTCCATGTAGTAGGTTTAAGAAAACATTAAAAATGAATAATATGATAATAGTATTTCTGTTTATAAAACTATGACAACAAAGTGTTGAGTTTGTTCTTGTACTGATAGAGAAAATGTGGAAATGCAGATTATTCTAAATTTACAAAGTGAGCCACAGTCCAGGTTATTTTGTTTTTCTCCCCCTCGCCTTTATTTGGGAACAGCCTTTATTTGTTCGCACAGACTGCTTTTACTGAGACCTGGATTATTTGAACACCAGCTTTATTTGAGCATTTACGGGCATTAAGCCACATTCTGTCTGTTAACATAACACAACCGGACCTGCGTTTGGAGCCATTTCCACTAATGCAAACAACCCCTGGGCAAGCAGGTTGTGGTTTCTAACTGATGCATTCCTCTGTTGCTACTGTATAAACAGGTCTTTTTCAATGCGATGCCAGTACTGATGTGTGCAGAGCTGTGCTAACTATATAGAAATCATTGTTGAGCAACAGAGCCCAACTGTAAATGTTGAGTTTTAATCACTTTGACTTGTAGATCTCTTCAATAAGACAATAAGCAAGCATGGGACTGCTCTTTGTTAAGTCTGGCAATTCATCTTATAAATACAGGTACTGGATTTTTGGTTCAGCACACTGTTTGTGGTGAGACATTGAATTGAAATTTAAATGCATGTCTGGTCGTACATATGACTTCTGAAAGTAGATCAAGGTGTCCATTAGGAGAATGATAACACTTGTTCAGAGCTGCCATCTGTGAAGTGTGTCCAATCCCACTGTGATTATCTGCTGGCTGTTCCTCATGTTATTTCTACAGGTCTCTGTCACAGCCTGAGTTATGGCAAATCCATATGGGTTGAGTGAGGATGCACAGGCTCATGGTGTTCTTTTCATATAAGAATTGAATCTTCAATTAGTTGTGCACGTTCCCATGTTTGCGCGTGTGTGACTGTGAGTAATCGCGCGTGCGTGTCTGTGGATGCAGGCACGGATCTGCTATTCACGCACACGTGTGATACAAATATTGAGTTTTGAATCACAGTTCACGTGGAGTTGTGTTCCTGCAGATGAGCAAGCCAAATCAATACAAAGAGGTAGGAAAGCAATATGGTATGAATCTGTTATTACTGGTAATCACAACCGTGGCTGCTCCCCCCTGATGTGAGGGGAATTCAATTACCTTCCTCTCCCCGTTTTGGGGAAAACTTTCTGATGGGAAATGGATGTTCTACTGCAGTAAGAGAAAAACAAATCGACTTCCTGATGAAATTCCACTTTTCATTTTTCTCTTCTTTACCCACTCTGCACCCAACCCCTTCTGTCTCTCTCTCTCTCTCTCTCTCTGCTCACACACACCACACACACACAAAGACACACACAGAATCTTATGCATGGCTAATTGTGCAGAGACATTGTGTTGAGCTGTGATAAGCAACAGAAGAGACAGCATACGGGGGCCTTGTAGACACAGTGATGCTGCAAGACAGCCTTATCACCCACACCCACACACAAGGATACACACACACACCCATACAGAAACAGACGTACACGCATACATACGCAGTCGCACACGCACAAAAGCAGATTGCTGAGGTAGAGACTTCACGCTGAGAGACACGGGAGGAGGGAGAGAAAGAAGGGTAGAAAAAAAGGAGGGATAGAAACATAAGATGAGAGAAGAGGAGGACGGCAGGAGCATAACAAATTGCTTCTGATAGGAGTCTTCAACCCCCTGCTTGTCTCCTAGCCCGTAGGCACTTTATGTTTACCGAATTTTCTCCCCTTTTCTTTCTTTTCCTCTCCCTCCCTCATTGCATTTGTGTATGCAAGGAGCGGGCTATTCTTCTGGATGAAAACGATAATGTATGTGTGCATGCATGCTTTGTGAGTCATACTGTGTCATGACAGTGTGTTAACGATTTGGCAGCGACTGTGTGCAGGTGCTTGCCTTCCTTATGTTTGGATTATTTATCTGCTGTGTGTGTACATGTTTGTACATCTAGATGTATCTCTAAATTTATGTTCATCGCTATTTGCTGGCAACAAAGTCACAGCTTTTCTCTCTGGAGGTTAAAACAGTGGATTTAGAAAATTGGCAGCTCACTTAAAACAGGACACAAAAGGTACAGCGTTGAACACTCACCTCCCACTCTCCCATGGCCAGTTGGTTCTTCAGCTGTATGAGCCAGTCTTCCTGGACGTTGTCAGCACAGTGGTGGATGGTGAGGATTACTGGTCTGGTCAGCAGGGCTCCTGGAGGTCCACAACTCACCACTGGGCTTAGCACCGTCTGGATGTCCTCCACTGGGGGTCTGGAAAAGACAGATAACACAGAGGTGAAATTATTCTTTAGAAAAGAGCAACAGGAGGGCTGCACTGTTGGGTACCTGTTGGTGCGAGCATCAGTTGCAGGAAGCTGTATTGATTTCACTTGTGTTATCTGTGTTATTTTGTCATAATGTTCCCATATGGAAAAACTCAGCTCGCATAATAAGGAGACAGGTGGACAGTTAGGTCCGAGGAAGACAGACTAGCTGAGAGTAGATGAGAAAATCAGGGAACAAAACAGATCAGAGCAAAGCAGCACAAATTCAATCAGAGGATGATTAGTGGAGTCGGCAGGGCTTCATCAGTTGGGTCTCAGCTGGAGTCAGTAGCTCACAGCTCATGGGCAGAAAATAAATGACTGCTAGTCACAGGTTCCCCCGCTTTTACAGTAAATTCTAGGATTGGAACCTCAAGCACTTGCTAACTAATGTATGTTACAGTACAGCAACATAATAATACAGGCTCTTCTACTGTAAGGAAATGTAAGATGATACATATCAAACAATATCAATATGGCCTTCTTTCATTATTAAACTGAAAGCTAAAATGGCATTCTTAAACAATAGTTAAACATGAAAATACTTATGAAAATGTTTGCTGTGCAATCCATTATCCCGTCATTTTCTCCCCTCATGGTGCTGAAGATATTTACTGACTGAGAAAGAGCCCATATGGATAGAGGAGATGGATCTAAATTTTAAAAGTGATTTTCTTTTTCAGCCCACCTTTTGTCAGGGGGGCACTAATCCTTAGCAGTATGATCGATTCAGCTGCTGGAGCTCATTATTGACTCATGAGGGGTTCACATGGGCAGGAGAAGATAACAGATTAAAAAAAAAGAGTAGGACAGCACCCTTTGACTTACCTAATGCAGAGGTCACCCCTTAATGAATTACAGTGTTATTGTATTTGATATTAATCAAAGTATCTTTTATCATACAAATACAGAAAATAGATGCTTTAATTTGTGTATGTGGGAAAACTGACACCTGAGGGTTAGCTCTTATAATGAGCTAAACCATATGATTCTGGCTTGCCCAGTGTTGCTGAGGGAAGTCAATGTAGCTATGTGATTTTTGCTAGCCAGCTATTGACTAAGATGAAGACAGAGGGGAGAGAAGAGGTTTGGCTCTTAGAAATACTGTAGCACCCTGCAGGGGGCCTAATTCTTATTGACTGTCATTGATCGGGGAAAGGCTAGAATGGATGCATGGGAGAGAATACTATAAACTGTAACAAGTGTCCTAAAGCTATGGTTTTAAATGAGTTGGTTCACCCAAATTATTAAAGAACAGATTTCCTCACTTGCTCCTTGTGCTATCTAGCTATTTTATTTTATTTGCCCAGTTTTTGAGATTGCATTTTTCCGTCACCCCTCAATACAATGACATAATGAATAGAATATAGTTTGTAGTGCTCACAGCATTAACTACATATATGTTTAAAGGCAAGGTGTCCTTCAAAAAACAGTGTCCTTGTTACAGTGCATAATGCACAAACCTTGCTGCAAACTGTTTATTGAACTACTTTCCAAAGAAATAACAGGTCAGAGCAGGTTGAGTTTTGCTGTGCTGTAGGTATGTTGTGATGCCAGGTTACTTTCAAATAGAGCACTGATAATGTCTCACATTTGCATCAAGGACATTTTCTACACAACAGCTGGAATAAATAAATTTCTCTCTTGTCTCTCATGTCCCACAGAGAGCTTTACCTCACTCATTCACAGGGTTTGGGAGTAAAGGATTATAGTACATGTAACAGGATTACAGTAATCCCAAAAATAACCACTAATCTGTTAGTTACTGTGGAAACAGTGATCTCTTTGCATATGCTGTCAAAAGCCTGGTGTTTGTTTTTTGGATCTATAACATGGCATTAAGACAAAAAAAATGTGTTGGTCACACTGCAGTCAACATTAGTTTCACACATCTTAAAATAATGGCCGATATGAGCTCTACATTTGGGTAACAGCCCTGTGGCCAAAATTTGGAAAACATCAATTAACTATGTAAATTCTGTGGATTACTGTACAGATTACAATGTTAAGTAGGTAATAATGAATGTGTAAAATATTTATTATCAACTCCTCAACTTCAACTACTTAGGATTTTTTTTTCTGTGAGGTATTAACTGACCTCTGCTGAATGAATCACTCAGAAGGTGTGCATAGATATACTATAAATAATAATGACTCATCCCTTGCTGTGTATCCTAAGCCAATGTCATACTGTGAAAGCCTCCCCACGCAACCATACAAACAGGTCTGAGGAAGCCGCTGCCCAGGTGAAAGACGGAGAAGCACAGGCAAAGAAAAACAAAGAAAGAAAAAGAACACAGGGAGATGCAGAGATGAGGAGAAAAATGGGGACAACAGGGAACAACACACAGAGAAAAAAGCCAGAAAGTACTGAAGGAAAGAGACAGAAAAAACTTACCTCAAGCTGTCCTTCCTGTGCACAGTCACATACATCTCGTACACCCTACCCTGAGGAACAGCACCCGCTGGAACCAACAAACTCACGCCTGCAGGAGGGAGGACAGGGGGAGCCAGAATAGATGGAGGCAGAAATAATGAGATTCATCAGTGGCTTATTAATTTCACCATGTACAACTGAATTATTAAGTGTGCAACCCATTATCACTTTATCATTATGATTAATTATTGAATAATCATTTTTAAAGGCAACCCATGTAAAACTTTCTCTTAAATATATCATCAAGTGAATTGTGCAGCAATGTTTTATAGCTTTTGAGAGCTGCTTCCTATCAGCAGGTTACATTATTCATTATTTTTTTTCTGCCCACTGCTTTTAAATCCTAACATAAGTCTACTGAAAGTTTTTTGCTTTTAAAACTAGGTAGCTGGAGGACATCCCAAGGCTGTCTCTTGTAGTATGTTGACTGCGCAGCAGTATCTAGATACACTTTCTTTATGTGGTTTTCAGTACAGGAAATGTATTTGATCTTGTTCAAATCTATAATACTTTTTAGTCAGTATTAACTTTGATGACATTCTTTCTATTTATAGCAGTTCATGTAATGTAATGTATTATAAATTGTTAATGTTTATGTCAAAAAAAGGTTCATCATCACAGCATTTTTTTAAAATCACATCAAAAGCCTTTTGTGATCAAGCCAATATGGAGGAGCTATATACTGTAGCTAACCCTAACCCTAAAGCATGAAAGCAATCACACCACCTATCTGAACACTGCATTAGTAACAGTAACCAGATTTATGATTAGCTGTTAAGCGTGTGTAAGAACATTTACCAGAGTTTGGTACAATGAGGTGTCCTCCCTGGTTGTTGAAGGATCCGTGAGCAGTACAGGAAGGGTCCCGTGTTCGGGCCAAGCTCTGGTTGCGAAGGTTCATGGTGTCGCTGTTATCCAACAGAGACTGAGTTACCTAGGGATGAAAAAACAACATTCAGAATGATAATAATAAGAAAGTTAGAATTATAGGTCATCACATAACACATGCTGTACCAGACAGTACTGGGTGTGAAGCTGTTCAGCAGAGACTGGATCAACTGAAAGTCTGAATTGAAGTATTTGGTAAATGAATCATCACAAATCTATGTCTACTTTGGCTGAGCAATGCAGTTATCGATGCATTAACCTTTAAAATCAAATTTCTTTTTGCATTTATGCTATTGCATATAAGATACAAGTTATGAAAAAGTTTTTTTTGAGAGGTTAGTGAAGATGAGCTCTATAATTTCCTTACCATTGTAGTCAACGGTTTTTACTGTTATGTAAGTGTGGTGAGTTACATTGCTATTAGTCCTATTGTGTACTGTACCATTATGCATAAGCTGCATGCATGCTCTATGTAGGCTGAAAGAAGTGAGCATATGGATATGCAGAAAATCAATGTGCTGTGATTTCAAGAACGAACTTCCTCTAAAAGAGCTGATGTCAAGTACTGTAAAATGTATTCTAATGAAATCCAATCAAGTTCACAGACGTTTCACTGTGCAATGCCAATCTCTGGTTGTATGGATCATTGTAGTTTTATTCTTGTCTGGCTGATTAGGGTGAACTTTTAATGTTCCTTTTTCCACAGGAATTTGACTGCACTCATCAACATGGTTATTGTTTTCCTTATGTTTTCCTGGTAACCATTAACTAAAATGCTACAGGGAAACTCCACATCTGCCTGGGAGCGCTGCCATAGGGCTGAGCTGGCAGTCTGTGAGAAGAGGGCGTTTTTACAGTAGACCTATGAAACCACCTTAGGGTATGTGGTAAAATATGACCTGCTTTGCATTTCCTTGTCGAAATGTCCACTGTGAGATGCAAAATAAGGACTTAACATTCAGCAGTTTACTCCTGCATCACGCAAAGCTGACAAAAACTGGCTTCAATGTGTTAAAAACAGACAGCACACTGGAAACACAAACAGAAAAGATCCTCAAATTAGCGAGGCAAGGTCAGTCATTAGACACAGTGGAGGTTCAAAAGGCCACACTTAAAAAAACACCCATAATAACAGATCAAATCATCAAAAAAAGATCTGTAGAGCTCAAAGATAGCGAGTTCAGCTCTCGTAGTGCCTCAGGACAGGTGCCGTGATGAAACCGGGTGGTTTCATCTGTATTTGTGACAACTGACTCTGGTATGCATGCCATGTAGTTGACAGAGCAGAGGGAGGAAACTGGAGCACTGAGCTGCATGTATACTAATGGTGTTTGTTTTTGTATTTATGTGACTGGGAACACATAGCTGTGGTGTTTCAGGGCTACTCACTATGCTTCTGCAGCGTAACTTTACTTCAGGAGGAAATATTTCAAAATCCTACTGTGCTCATACAGAATATTTTACAGCATAAGCCGAAACATAAAAGTGAATCAAAGATACATTAGACATTAGAGCGAGTGGTGCATTCATTTATGTTACCTTAGGAGACAGTTTGGATGTGAAGTCTCCACCGAGGTCATCCTGTGGTGTGACCAGACCGGAAGAGTTGTAGACTTTGATCTTCAGGTTGGGAAGAGGGTCCAGGAGAGGAGAGTTGGTCATTGGGATTTTATCTGAAACATCGTGGAGGGCATAGACCGGGCCACGATACATGGCAGCTGCATTTGTCAAGTCAGGAGGAGCTGTCAGTAGATCAGCTAGAGGGATAAAATGAAACAGACAAAGAGAAGGAGCAGATGAAGGGAAGACAAAATAAAAGGGAAAATACATCATGAATAGCACTGGTGAAGACGGAGAGGGCAAACGAACCGTAATGCAAGATACTTTATATCCTCAACAGTATAATCGGCAACACATGGCTGCGGTATGGGACAAATGTTGGGAACTTGTAGATCAGTGAGCAGGAGTAAGGGGAGTAAGACGAGAGCAGGCAAGGCTGCTGATAAGGTATCAGTGTCTGGTATGATACATTGCAGTACACAGGGGCATGACCTGGATCAAGGACTGGTCATGACTGCTGTACAGAGCGAGCGAGCGAGAGAGAGAGGAATTCTTAGACCTTGAATACGTTTAATAGATCATACTTAAACCTGTATTTATCAAAACAAATTCAGTCATTTAAAAGCTGACCTTACTTTATACTGTATAATAACAGAACAGCAAAGCTTTGAGGTGTCCTTTAAGCTGTTCTCTGACTCTGACTTCACCCACACAATCAGAGGAGCTATCACCCACATCACTGTTTTTAAAATGCTTACTATGTCACAATTCAAAACGGACTGAAAGAACCTGCAGCGCACATTTACCACAAAACATCACAATGTTAACTGACAATGACAATTGTTAGGGCTGATCTATTGGGGCTTCAGTTAAGAGAAACTGCTGTATGTTCTGTGTTCTAAAAACAGTCATTTTAACCTCATCATCCGATATATCATGGTGTATATCACAATGTAAATGTGTAGTTTATTTTAATCTGACAAGCAAGACGGATGTACATGCACGATATTCAAGCAAACCTTAAAATCAATAGGTAAACTATTCTCAGCCTAGTCAAAATTTACATTCTCATTATATTATTAAAATCTTGCTAGATTATGTAATTTTTGCCAAACAGCAGCCACTGTGGCTACATGTGACAATTACAGGACCATGGCACATTGAGATTCTCTCGAGTCAGCTGCTTAAAAGACATCATCATGTTTATCTGTGACATGCAAAAATGTAGTGTAACAGGAGCACAAGCATTCAAAGGACTTGAAGTCAGTGAATTCACTCAGTCATGCCAGTTGCACTGCGTCTATCTACACTGTTCTTTCTCAGGTTGTCACAGTTGATACTAATGCTGGGATCTCTACACTTTTCATGTATTGCAGGAAACACTCAAGCACCCCACTTGCACACACATACATACAAGGACTGTCGAATATAAACATGCATAAAACACATCTGCATGTAAAAGACAGCATGCAAACACGTGTCTTGCATACCAAGACGTACAATATACTGTACACACTCATACCCGCACAAACCACGAACACACATGCCAAATGCCGCATATGGAAATTGCATGATGCCAGTGGGGATGGATAGGTAAGTCTATCTGAGATTTCTTTCTGTGCTAACTGCAGAAAAGGTTAGTGTAAGCCTGGGGGCAACTGCAGGAACATGATGATTGTTAATATGTACAGTATGCTAATTCACGTGCGTTTAGTATTCAAGTACAGTATGTTGATTTTAGTTATAAAATGCAACTACATCCTTCTACATACATTCATTAAAACTCCTAACCTTGCTGAATTAAATACAGTATTATTATTATTATTATAAATTGATCTTTTGCAGGAAATTTACAATTTTTTGTAATCAGGAAAACCTTTGCAATGAAATTATTAGTAACACTTGACTTGACAGTGTGTTCTATCTGCCAGAATGCTAGCTACAATTCCTTCTAGGTAGTTGGAAAGATGCTGCAGCCAAGTGCAACTCATTGTAAAAACAATACAGTAATTTCCTACATGGAGATTTACTTTACCAAAATTAATCAAGGGAATGTGCTCCAAGCAACCCCACAAGACGACAAGCAGAGTCACTCTTGAAGGTTATTTTGTTCTTGCTACAACCCTCTTCAGTTTAACAGAACTTAATCTGAGGGCGGACCAATGTGTACTGTACCTCTACATAAAAACTCTCTCGCATCAGAAAATCCAACAAATATCCAAGATTAAATCTGGACTGGGATCACAGGAAGACCAGTTACCTACTGAGAACAATTCCAGATTTATTCTGGCTCTATATTTTTGGGCGTAGAGCCTGACATCCTTTCATTCCCTTCCTAAGCCCATCCATTCTAATTTCAGAATCCCTCATTATCGCCCCGCCCTCCACCACCAACACACCCAAACACACAGACACACACACACACATCTGTCACCTATCACTCTTCCTCTCTCTATCACCAGGCTGTTTACCCTTAAAGCCAGCGGGTATTCCTGCCAAATCATCCCTACTGAAATTTAATTAACAACTAACCAAAGCCACAGAGAGAGAGAGCGTGCAAGAGTGAGAGAGAGAGAGGGCACAAGAGACAGCGTGCAAGAGAGAGAGAGAGAGAGCGGGAGAGAGAGGGCAGGGGGTGCTGGGGAGAGAGAAAGTCAGAGAGAGAGGGACATAATTCTTCATTAATAGTAATCGGAGATGGTCCCTCAGCGCAGAGTGACAAGCATCCTAATGCTTTGCTGATAAAATGTCACCCAATCTCTGCTCATGCAAAGGCATTCACCCTTGTACACACACAGACACGCACATGCATGCACATACACAATTATTTTAGCTTGCTGTTTACCAATTTGCATCTTTTCTGACCTCACTTTCCTGTTTTTACTATAAACCATGATCTGAATTTTGATCGTCCACCCACAACTGACCACACATATAGCCAGCTATATGCCAGTATCCTGTTAAAGGTATTTCAAGGTGTACAGAATTGTAGTTTGCAGGTTTCATTCTATTAGAGAAACATAAATCCTGTTGTAAATGTAACCCCTTTCTAAAATGCCATTTCTTGTTGTCCAAATGGAGACTATCAAGTACTATTAAGTATGTTGAGTACCAGCATGAGCACTGGTTTTGTCATCAACTATTTTAAGCCATCTAATTTACAATATTTAATCCAAATCTGTGGGAGTGTATGAGTGTATGTTGGTTTGCGTATGTGCCTACTGCCTACATGGATGCATTTGTGATGTGTTTGACAAACAAAGATTCCCAAAGGAAAAGTCATGGTATCTCAAAGTTCATGGTATCTGAGGACTGATACATGATTCATCCACATCACCTGTCCAACCTTGGCATTTCCACTAAGCTATCGAATGCATGCACACGGGTGTACAAGTGTGTGTGGCCGAGTGCTTCTTGTTGTCTTATCCATTTCCCAAAGACAGACAGACAGACAGAAGAGAGTGAAAGATGGCTCCACTTTAACAGGAAGACAAACAGCGAGGGAGCGCCGGTTGGGGTAGGAGTCATTGTGACGGGACAGCCGGAGACGCGCCGAGAGAAAGACAGAGATGCGGAGACAGAGATGAAGAGAAGAGGAGGATGCTAATAAACAGGAAAAGCGATTGACTTGAATGTGCTGATGGGAAGTGAGAGAAAGAAAGAGTGAGACAGAGAAGAAGAATGACAGAGAGAGACTCCTTGATGGAAGAGAGTGGTCTCTGGTGGAGACAGAGATGAATCCAGACGGGTACAGATTGACAGGTGGAGGCTGAGTAACTAACATCAAACCCTCAAAGGAGACAGAGCATGTACAGTTATATCCAAAGAGGTGTGGTCACATTTCTTATTCTGTAACCACCCATTAATCTATATATCTGTCCATCTACCTATTTGTTGTTGTTATTATTATTATTATTATTATTATTTTATTTTAATTTTATTTTAT